GGCCTTCCTGGTGAAAAAGGTCTGGTGTGAGAATCCCAAAGCACCAGTCAGGTTTGTCTTCCCCACCTTTTGACTTTACAATACAAACATCCTGATAAAGCTAAAATCCTCTGCTGATTGGTCGATTCCACTGATGGAACAGATCATCTGTAAATCTAAAAAATATTTTTAATGTAAAGGAGAGGTGCTGATAAGTGTTTCTGTGCAGGAGAAACACAGCCCAGAACCCCTACAGCACGAGCCTGGAAAGCATCAGGTAAAGAATGACTCGTTCTAACATTTAGAACTTTGGCAACAACTGAGATCATACTCCGAGAACTGAGTCAGAGTCAATAAGAAAACGACTTGTTCTAACTCAGAGAGAATCATGTAGAGCTCATTCAGCTCATTCTTACTCACCGATCTTACATAGCGTTTGGAGGAGAACAGTTTGTTCTACCTTAAAGAACTCAGACAGTATCAGGAAATGAATTATGCATTTTAACTTAGAGAACCCACAAAAAAGAACAGCTTTTTTAACTCATAGAAACCCACAGCGCCAGATAGAAAACAGCTCGTTCTAACTCAGAGAACAGTATTAGGTAAAGAACAGTTGATCCAACTTAGGGAACCTATAAATTCTCTGAAGGAGAACATCTTGTTCTATCCTTCAAACAGGACTTTAGGTAAACATGAGATCCTAATGAATCCAATTGTGTTTATTTGCAGGAGAGGCAGCGGGCAATCGGAGAACAATAAATATGAGGACCCCGAAGCCTTCAACAGGTACATGGACAACATGAGGTAGAGAATGAATCGTTCTAGCATGAAAACCTGGGCAGAGGATAAGGACAGTTAGTTCTAAGTGAAATAAACTGGAAGTGGACAGGTAGGGAATGGCTCGTCCTAACAAAGAAAACCTGGACAGCGTCAGGCAGAGAACAGCTCTGGCTTAAGAACCTGATACAGAACCTCATGTAAAGCTATAACTTCCTGCTTTGTGTTCCTGCTTCCTTTTTGTCTCTTTGATCCTAGATTTTAGGCTTCACTCTTTCAGTAGTTTTTGAATGTAATTGTTATCTATCTCTTTGAAAACAATTTAAAACACATTAAAATTTTAACACTTTTAAACAAATACCATTCGATTAAAAATCAGATTAAGCCATTAGTCATTTTAAGTTAACTTGATCTGTGAGAACCTGCTCAGTAAAGGAGGATCTGAGAACATCTGGCACTGCTCCTCAGCTTCTCCTCTGCTATCAGGCTCTGGGATCTGCTATTTTAATCCCACAACAAGGACTGAGCTTTGACTAGGCCACTCTTGAATATTCAGCTAGCTGTCTTTGGATAGTTTCTATGGATCTTCTGTTTCATGCTGGGCATTACTGTAGCTGCAGATACTTGCAGATGAACCAAATGTAGATCCTGGTTTCTAGTTCTTCCTCACCAATCTTGAGGAACCGCTGCCACTCTTCTGGATATTTGGCGTTTAACAGATCCAAGGGCCTTCTTTTAGAACTCTTCAGTGATATCTTTGGATAAATATGAGGTAGGATTTCAGACATTTTTTCAACAGTGACCTCATCTTTGCTGGTTCTCACAGTGATTTTACTGTTAAAGAACCTGGACAGCAGCTCTAGATCATAGCTCTGCATGTTTATTAAGCCCTAACAGGAACAAGCCGCTTTGGAATCACCTAATTGGACTTTCTTCTTAGACGTGATTAAATCTCCTTTTAGACCACATCTTATTCATGTACATCTGACATCAAATATGTCAAAAAGTCAAACAATATGGATGTTATCTTAGAAAGTACTGGAAGGTGAAACATCTGGAAACTGGCCTTGATCTAAGGTCATGTAGCCTGGAAATATACTGCGGAAAATTTGAACGTGTTTTACTGGATCAGGAAAGCAAACCCTTGCTAAGGCAACATTTTTCAGAATAATAATATCTTTATATCTGGAACCCCCTGCCCCTCCTTCCCCATCTGTTATGTCACCCTGGGTAACTTCCTACATAAGCTGGATCAGGACCAATCGCTTCTCAGCCAAGCAATCTTTATTTATATTGCGTCATGACTCAGTAGATTGACCAAAGTGCTTTAAAAGCTAAAAGCAATAAACAATAAGAACACAGTAAAACAATAAAATATGACCATGAAAAACGCACAGATAAAGAGATCTTCCTCAGTAATTCATCAGCTCCACAGAAACGTGACTGAATCATATCCTATTTTGCTTCAGTTCTTTACAGGCATTTTTTTGTTAATCATGGACCCTTGGACAAGGATCCATGATCCAGTCCTGACTCTTTCACTGCCTATTAGATGGAGAACTGAAGCCGCTGCAGATTATAATTACACTTTTTTTTAATGATTTTTGCTTCATCAGATTATAGGTTTATTACCTGAAACCCTGATGTTTGGATGTGAAGAGACTAAATATGCAGTATGTTTTATTTAATTTAAAAACTTTTTAAATAGTGAAAATGAAAATATTTTTATGTCAATCAAATTTTTTTTGTAAAAACTAGAATACAATAGAATTCTCCAACTCAAACTGTGTGCAAAAAAATCAACCATACACAGAAAAAAGGAAAAGCTTTTGTAAGTTATCAGCATGGAGGTGGAACCCTTTTGATTTTGCTGGGAGCAGTGATGGTTCTAAAGTCTAACACTTGCTGGAAGGAAGGATCTGTGATAACGCTCCTTTGTGCACCTAGGATTAGTTTATGGTGTTTATATGATTTGGCTAAATCCAATTTCAAGGTGATAAATCCTGCTCAGATATGTGCTTGGATTTTTATGTCTGCAGGCCGAGGGCCAGCGTTGACTCTGGGAAAGACAACATCTATCAGAGGAGCCTGGACGATCTCAGGTAGGAACTAAACTGACTCTGGTCTCATGGTAGACTCAACCAGACCCACTCCCTTTTTAACAAAACAGCAGCAACTAGAGGAAAAGGTTAAAGACACAGATAAGTAACAGATGTTCAGAGGGGCGTTTAAACCAGGTTCCTCAGCTAATCTAGAATCAGCTGAATAAGATTACATATTAATAGCGCACTGATCAGTGCATTGGATCGGGCCTCGATCAGAGCATCAATGCACAAAACAGTAGAGTAAAAACAAGCTTGTAACAATAAGTGAAGATTAATTTGGTGATTTATCAAAGAAGAAGAAGTCTGGAGAAAAGTTTAAGAGCAGGAGCCTGAAGACCCAGCAGTCCAGGACTCCACCCAGTGGTTTAAAAGCTCTCTGTGGGGACCCAGTCTGCCTGTAACAAAGAAAATGTAAAAAAGAAAATTTCCTCTTCCTCTATTTATCATCCACATCTAATTAGCTCATTTATGTCCAGTAAGCTCGTTTCAAACGGACTACAAAAATTGATTCCTGTAAGCCTTTTTGCTGTTTTATCTTTATATTTTACTGGAGGTGTATAAATATTCTATGATTTTAAAGAGCCCGATAAGAGCAACAGAGATAACAACGCTATCACGTGTCGCTCATTGAGCAAGAAGTTTAGGAAGCTGCTTTTCCAGATGTTCTGAGCATGGACTTACACTGCCGGTCCAGCAGATGGCGCAGTGACAGCAAAAGTCCAATCAATGAGTTCAATGAAAAATTCTCTGCTAAATAATAATCATTTTCAAACAAAATTTAGCAAAATATAACTGATGAAAGGAATTTTAATATTAAAGGAAATACGTCCCTTCATAATAAGTAACAGCTTCATAAATCAAAATACATACAATACTATACAATAATCTATAAACTTTGTTTATAGATGGAAATGATAACTGTTTCCTAGACAGTTGATAACAACTGTTTCCTAAAGTGACCAATTGAGATGCCAGAAGTATTTCTGTATTTCTGCACACTTGCAGAAGAGCTGATGAAATGAATGGATTGGTGAACAGAAACAAAACGCTGGATTTTTTTGGTACGAATGTCAACAACAGGTCAAACAAAGAGGAGTTATTGAAGAGTATCAAGAAAGATTAAAAAAAAAAAAAGTTTATGCCCATAATTTATCAGATTTCATTTTTTTAAGACCATTTTAACTCTATATATTTTCTAAACTAAGGTTAGCGAAGTTCCCTTCATAGATTGCCTGATATTAAAATACTCACCCTGTCATTTGTGTGCATTTTCTAAAAGTAACCCATCATCCAGCTCAGATGTTGACTGTTGGAAAACATTTCCAGTCAGAATTTTATCTTTTTTTGTTTTTTTGTTTTTGTTTATGACACTTGACAGTCACCTGCATATAACATTCTTAAATTAAAGAAACTTGACTCTAAACGCTGTTTTTTTTGTCAGATTCTCAAATTACTCTAATTAATCCTGCACAGTGAGGCAATCTGTATAGATTAAACAAGTAAAAATAATAATCGATTATAAAAGTCATTATTATAACAAATATTGATAAATATATCCTTTTTGAAATACAAAAAAATGAAGATGATCTTTTTATGGTTTAAACATTTTTTCAGGTTTTCTGGTTATAGATGATGATGATGGTGGGGAGCTTCAGGTCAGCCACTGAAGTTTCTCAGGCTGCACAGGGAAATATTCTTGATGAGGCCTTAGTGAGAGCAGCTGAATCCTCTCGAACATTCAGAAACTGCTCGATTAGTTCTAAAATCTTTTCATATAACCTGTGTGAGCTCAGAATAGTGCAGCTTCATTTATAAACTCTGTTTGTCATTCAGTCCCAGGGAAGGCAGCAACATCTACGACGACCCTGACGATAAATCTACGGCCATGTGAACGTCCAGCAGAGATCCTGGCAGCTCGGAGCTCCAGCTTTCTTTAAATAAATCAGTGTTGAATCTTCCTGTTGTATTACGTGATCGTGTAATATTCCGGCTCTGATGTAGAGACCAGAACCTGGTAACGCAGGGAGCTCCTTAGTTTTATAGTTTTCCTTGTGTTTCCTCTCAGACTCCTCCTTTCCTGATTAATCAGTTATCTTTATAACCAGCTGCTGCCTCAGCTCTCCTTGCTGATCACTGGACCCACGACCCGCTGTAAATGATTGACCTCAAGAGTCCACAGGAAACAGCCTCAGGAGGGAAAGCATCTGAAGAACTGGAGCTGAATGTGATTTATGAGGAAGTTAAATGATGGAACATTAAGAACACTTCAGAACTTCAGCTCATCTTCCTGTGACCCGGGTTCCTGGTTCAGAACAGCATGCTCATGAGCTGTAGAGCTTAAAAACAGAAACAAACAGCAATATATGCATATTTGTTAGAATGCTTAATGATGCTTTTAATTTATAACAGAAATGAATTTCTAAGATCCACATTGAGAATGTAGAGAACCCTGATTACAGAATCCAATATGTCTGCCACTCTTTGTTAAGGAAGTTCAAACTTGTCTACACTGAAACTTATCAACCTTGTTGTCAATGTGCTGCTGGTGACTGATCTTCTGTCAGAGGGGGTTCCACACTCAGATTCAGGTGTTAGGAGAAGCTCAGCAGGCCTTAGGCTTCATTTAAATGACTTGAGCCAATCTACAAGCTGCTAATTGACACTGATGAGAGATCAGGGTTAAAAAAGGTCCTAGTCAAAGTCCAGACCAGGCTAAACAAACCCTAGCTTATTACTTCTAAATAATTAGGCAATGTTTTCACGGAGTACAACTTTTTAATACAAACATCTCTTTTTAATATTTTTAGGTATTTAATTTGATCTTTCTAATAAAAGTCTGAATACTGAAGAACTATTTTATATTAACATAATAAATGGAATCTAAAATGAACAGAAACGGCATGTTAGAAATATTTATTGCAAATACAACTAAAGATTGCTTGATTTTTTTTAAATGACAGATTGATAATCGAGAGCTTAATCTGGACTTTAATTGATTCTAACCCAGCCTTTCTATCGCACACATCTCTACGCCTGCTACCTCTGTCAGAACCAGACCAGTGGTCTTTCTCATCTGCAAACTGTTTGCTTTCATACCAACTGCACTGTAGAATCCTTTTTTTCTAGAAAAACAAGTTTTTGTTCCTTTGTTCAAATGTAAAATGAGCTTAAATAAAATATTTTTGAATGGATTGTCAGTTAATAGAAAACTTGTATTTGATATTCACTTACATAAAATCACAAAATCAAACCTACTCTGTGGTGATTCATGTTTGTTCCCAAGAAAAATTCCCCACAGAAAGTAAAGTCTGTTTATTTGTCTTTATTAACGGTTCAATAATCACCATTCCATCCTTCTCACATTAAATTAAAATCATTTCCAGGAGCATTTGACAACATGACAAAGACACGTATCAAAACTGGACCCATTTAGGGTTCTGACAGGATGTGGCACGAAGCTGCAACACAAACCTCTAAAAAATACAGATCAATTCATGTGAAATCAACAATAAATTACATTTCATCTACAAAAAATTAAGACATTGAATATGTGTACATGGCTGATGTTTGCAGACTTTTTCCCTTTAAAGACAAACACCTCATTAGCAGCTAATGCTAACAACAAGCTAGCTTAGCTCTTCAAATAAAAATAAAGAAATCATTCAGAGTTTTCACACGTCTTGCTAAACGTGTTAATTCACATTTAACATTTAAGAGATTCGGACGTATTAACAGTAAAATGTTTCGGTTGAAAGCATTTGAGCAGATTGGCTAATTTGCTAGCTAACAGCAGGTCACATTATACGAAATATTAAACAAGTTCATTTTAAATGTTTTGTTAAAATGAGCCTAATTACAAATCTTTATGCCATAGACGGTGTTTGAATACAGATTAAATCATGTTAAACTGCAAAACTGAACTTATTTTCAACTAAACATTTAAAGCTAACCAACCTAGTGAGCTAATGACATCAGGCTGATAGTTTTGTTAGTCTAGTTTCAATAAAGGGGATAAAACCAGCATGTTAGCTCATTTGCACACAAAACCCACATTTATGAGCAGCAGCAAACCAAAGAAACGACATAACTTGTTTTTTGTTCCAGAGAAACATTTTGGTTTTACTTTAAGAGGAACATTTTAGCCACATGTTTAAGACTTGAGATATTTTGAAGGAAAATGACCATCAGCAGCATTAAAGCTAACATATTGAATTTTTGAAAAGAAGTTAAAGACGAACTCTTTATAACTTACAATTTCCAGAGAATAGTTATATAAGTCTTTACTTCAATCATCTGTTTTAGTTGGTGTTTTTTTCAATGTGTTTCGAAATAAAAACATTGGCCTAAGAAATGCTAAGAAATTTAATCTATTGAGTTCATTAATTTGAGGAGCTGAATCATTTGTGAATCATGTTTAAAGGAAGTGAGGAGGTTTAACATTAGTATGAAATTAATGATTTATCCACATTTTACTGTGACCTTGAAATAATTAGTTAATAGTTTCCAGGAAAACCTCCTGGAGGTTTTCGGGAAAACCTCCTGGATTTGTTTTTTTTTTCAGGAATACCTCCTGGATTAGTTTTTTTTAGGAAAACCTCCTGGATTTTTTTCAGGAAAACCTCCTGGATTTTTTCAGGAAAACCTCCTGGATTTTTTTCAGGAAAACCTCATGGATTTTTTTCAGGAAAACCTCATGGATTTTTTCAGGAAAACCTCATGGATTTTTTCAGGAAAACCTCCTGGATTTTTTCAGGAAAACCTGAATGAATATTTTCTTGAAAACTCACAGATTTTCCTGAAAACAATGTGTTTTAGGGAAAATATTTAGGGTATTTTGAGCAACTCCTTTTAGCAGAAGCAAAATTTTTTGGAAGTATCCTTCTGAACAAAATTATAAATAGGAAACTGATGGAAAACACCCAGATTTACAGGCATGCTACAAAAAATCTGGTTTGCAGGATCTTTTCAACAGAATGATTTTAATATGAAACACAAAAAGCCAGTTTCTTTTTTTGTTATTCGAAGAACACAAAGAATGTCAATCTGTAGCTTTTATATCTAGACTAAATTTTTAACCCATTCATGATAAATATCATAAGGAAGACATTGTTTCTGTTGTCAAGGCGACGGAAATACCAACAACATCCTGAGAGCTGTCTCTATGGAGACAGCGAGCATTAACTCTTATAGAAAGTCTATATATGTATTAAATCTGCATGTATTAAATTAAAAAAATAATTTTATCAAAAGATGGCACATTTTTACATTGATGGAAAAAACTAGGGATGGCTCTTTCTGTGCAACAGAAACTACAGGCTTGTGAAAAAGAAAGTGAACTGATTTAAGAGACTAAACTGGAGACTTTTAGATGGTGTTTTTAAGACAAACTGAACTTTTAAATCAAAATAATTTCTTTAGCTGTGAAAATAGACCCAAATCTTCAGACTGATCCCAGACAATTTCTGCTCAAAATGAAAAAGAAAAGCTTAGACTGCTGGTTTAAGCTACAGCGGTTTATATTAGCAGCACCGGTGTTATGAAAGAGGGACTAGTTCTGTTTGGGTCGAGTTTGAGCCAGAATCTCTGGATAAAATTCATGCATAACAGAAACTGCAGTTTCTTTAAAACTTAAACAATGTTCTACTTTCTGAACCACAGAACCAGAATAATTTTTTTCTTGGCTTCTCTGTACTTTCTTTTTGTGACCTAGTGTGACATCATTGTTGCCTAGTTTTGCAGCCAGGCTTCTGCTAAAGCTTCTGCATGCATCACCATGACGTGTCATCAGTTCTTAGCATGCCGTGATACCCCCCCTCCCCCTCCCTGGGAATGTTCTGGACACAAACCCTCAGTAGAAAAGTTGACCTAAGGAATTAAGCGTCCCTTTTTTCTTATTAGCATCAGAGCCGTTGGTGTTTCCTGTCTGGTGTTTAACATCTGGTGATCAGCACCGGATGAACAGCTTATTGACAGGATGACATCATCCAACCAGATTGTTCCGTGGTTCCGGTTTACAGCCATTAGAACCGGTGGATGAGCCTCAGAGACTGGGAAGACAGAGCAGGAAGCCCAGTGGGGCTGCTATAATCAGAGTGACCACTAGGTGGCAGAACAACCAAACAATAGATTGTTGAATTTGTTGGTATCCTGAATATTTTTTGATGAGCTGTGGTTCCATGAGAGATCTAGCTTTGAAAAGAGGAGAATCTCATATAAGCTTATGAGGGACTCTGCAGAAGGTGAGACACCTGTCTGAGAGATGGGCGGAGTCAGGTGGAGGTAAAGCGGGAGGACATGGCCTTCTTAGAGACAGAGGACAACTGTGAGACCAGTAGGGGTATTTTTTGCATGTTGGGAAGCTCAGAGTAACAGGTGTCCTCCATGTGTCTCCAGGTGTGCTTGTTAGGACAGAATGTCCAGCGTGACGGATCCTTTCTGTCTCTTCAAAATGGTCACCGCCTGCTCATGAGTCACTCCCTGAAGACTCTCTCCGTTTACAGATAAGATCTGATCGCCACGTTTCAGGCGTCCGTCCACTGCAGCAGCTCCCTGAAAAAAAGAAACAGCAAGATCAGGATGGAAGGATTGATGATTTCATTAAATTCAGTTCATTTATATAGCGCCGATTCACATCACATGCCATCTTAAGGCACTTTAAAGAAGCAGCTCAACCAGATATTACAGTGTTACTGGTTTTAAGTTTTCTATCTAAGGAGAACCATGGATGGATGGATGAACAGATAACTGATGGATGAATGTATGGACTGGCGGTTCTGACCTTGCTAAAGACGGTTTTCACGTAGATGGGAAGGTCTCCATGGGGACTGCCAAAGCCGCCAACGATGCTGAACCCGAGTCCCTCAGAACCTTTCTCCAGAGTGATGCTGCGGGGCCGTGGACCTCTGGGGAGAGAGTTCAGAGGTCAGGCCGAGGCCCAGGAGATTTCCAGCAGCTTCTTTGTTTATGTGTATCTGGTCTTACTCTGGGTCTACTGGGTTCTGCGGGTCGGTGCTGGCCAACAAACTGGAGCTGCCAGTCAAACTCTCCACCTGCGAAGCGATGGCGCTGATGTTTGTGTCCGCCACCACCTGGAAAACAGCCAGAAGCAGAACCTGCTCATCTGACACCTGAGATCTGATGGGGTCTCCTCAGACAGTTTACTCAGATAGGTGAACCGGAACCAATTAGGAACCAAGATGAAACTTTAACTGGATAAAATGTTGTCTTTGTGTTAAACAGCTAGGCATGGGATGTACAACATCTAAACATTAAAAGAATCCCTCAGTTTTGACAGGAGAACTGAACTGACCGGTTCTTTTTTGGGCTCCAGCCACGAACTGCTGATCAGCTACATTGTACACTGATCATCACCATAGCGACGCCTAAATGAATGGTCCATGGTCCTACACACAGGTCCATTATTGGGCTCAGACTGACAGAACCTAATCATCCTCCATTCACTGACAGGAAGATGAGCTGTTCTTTAGACCAACTGCGTTGCTTCATTAGAAGTTTGTCAGATATAATTATTTCCAATATTTTTTCCTCAAATTGTATTTTCCCAAAATATCGATGCCTTTTGACTGAAACTTTTTTCAAAGTTTAAATAGTGAATTGCATTTTTTTTTTATTTTAATTTACAAAATTATGTTTCGAAATTTAGATTCATGTTCGTCGGCGAGAGCCTGGTGGTCAGGCTCTTCCTTGCGGGACCCGGCCGGGCCCAGCCCGAAGGAGCGACGCAAGGCCATCCCCCAGTGGGCCCACCAACTTCAGGGGGAACCATGAGGGACCTGTGCATAGAGGATTGGGCGGCAGCCAGAGGCGGAGACCTCGGCGACCTGATCCGCGGGCGCTTAAACTGCCTCTGGGGACGTGGAATGTCACCTCACTGGCAGGGAAAGAGCCCGAGCTTGTGCGGAAGGGGGAGCGATACCGGCTAGAAATAGTTGGGCTCTGGAACCCAGCTCCTTGAGAGAGGCTGGACTCTCTTCTACTCTGGAGTGACCCGCGGGGAGAGGCGGAGGTCGGGGGTGGGGCTGCTTGTCTCCCCCCAGCTCAGCCGTCTCGTGTTGGAGTTCACCCCGGTAGATGAGAGGGTTGCATCCCTTCGCCTTCAGGTCGAAGGGAGGACTCTGACAGTTGTTTCGGCCTATGGGCCGAACGGCAGTACAGAGTACCAGGCCTTCTTAACATCCTTGGGGAGGGTGTTAGAAAGCGCCCCTCCCAAGGATTCCATCATTCTGCTGGGAGACTTCAATGCCCACATGGGAAACGACAGTGACACCTGGAGGGGCGTGATCGGGAGGAACGGGCTCCCAGCTCTGAACCCGAGTGGTGTCTCATTATTGGACTTCTGTGCAAGTCACAGATTGTCCATAATGAACACCATGTTCGGGCATAAGGATGTCCATCGGTGCACCTGGCACCAGGACACCCTAGGCCGAAGGTCGATGATCGACTTTGTAGTCGTATCTTCTGATCTTCGGCTTCGTGTCTTGGACACTCGGGTGAAGAGAGGGGCGGAGCTCTCCACTGACCACCACCTGGTGATGAGCTGGATACGCTGGAAGAGGAGGAAGCCTGAAAGACTCGGCAGGCCCAAACGTGTAGTGAGGGTCTGCTGGGAACGTCTGGTGGAACCCTCGGTCAGGGACGTGTTCAACTCCCACCTCCGGGAAAGCTTCTCTCAGGTCCCGAGGGAGGTTGGAGACATGGAGTCCGACTGGGCTGTGTTCTCTGCCTCTATTGTCGATGCGGCTGCCCGTAGCTCTGGCCGTAAGGTTTGCGGTGCCTGTCGTGGTGGCAATCCCCGAACCCGGATGTGAACACCGGTAGTAAGGGATGCTGTCAAGCTGAAGAAGGAGTCCTATCAAGTTTGGTTGGCTTGTGGGACTCCTGAAGCAGCAAGCAGGTACCATGAGGCCAAGCGTGTCGTGGCCCGGGCGGTTGCAGAGGCAAAATCTCGGGCCTGGGAGGAGTTCGGAGAGGCCATGGAAAAAGACTATCGGTTGGCCTAAAAGCGATTCTGGCAAACCGTCCGGCGCCTCCGGAGGGGAAAGCAGTGCTTCGCTAACACTGTTTTCAGTGGGAGTGGGGAGCTGCTGACCTTGAAGGAGGATATTGTCGGGCGGTGGAAGGAATACTTTGAGGATCTCCTCAACCCGACAGACACGCCTTCCGTGGGGGAAGAAGAGACGGGGTGCTTGGGGCTGGATTTGTTCATCACCCAGGTGGCAAGGCTTGGGGGTGGACAAGATCCGTCCTGAATATCTTAAATCTCTGGATATTGTCGGGTTGTCATGGTTAACATGTCTCTTCAACATTGCGTGGAGGTCGGGGACAGTCCCCCTGGATTGGCAGACTGGGGTGGTGTTTCTCCTCCATAAGAAGGGGGATCGGAGGGTGTGTTCCAACTATCGGGGAATCACACTCCTCAGCCTCCCCGGAAAGGCCTATGCCAGGGTGCTGGAGAGGAGAGTCCGGCTGATTGTCGAACCTCGGCTGCATGAGGAGCAGTTTGGTTTTCGTCCTGGACGTGGAACAGTGGACTAGCTCTACACCCTCAGGAGGGTGCTTGAGGGTTCTTGGGAGTTTGCCCAACCAGTCCACATGTGTTTTGTGGACTTGGAGAAGGCATTCGACCGTGTCTCTCGTGCTGCCCTGTGGGGGGTGCTGGGGGGTGGAGTATGGAGTCGGGGGCCCTTTATTAGGGGCCATCCATTCTCTGTACAAGCGGAGCAGGAGTCTGGTTTGCATTGCCGGCATTGAGTCGGACCTGTTCCCAGTGCATGTTGGACTCCGACAGGGCTGCCCCGCTGTCACCGGTCCTGTTCATAACTTTTATGGATAGGATTTCTAGGCGCAGCCAAGGACCGGAGGGGGTCTGGTTTGTGGACCAGTGGATCTCGTCCCTGCTTTTTGCGGATGACGTAGTTCTGCTGGCTCCCTCCTGCCAAGACCTACAACGTGCGCTGGGGCGATTCGCAGCCTAGTGTGAAGTGGCCGGGATGAGAATCAGCTCTTCCAAGTCCGAGGCCATGGTTCTCGACCGGAAAAAGGTGGCTTGTCCCCTTCAGGTTGGAGGAGAGTCCCTGCCTCAAGTGGAGGAGTTCAAGTATCCTGTTCACAAGCGAGGGAAGAATGGAGCGGGAGATCGATAGACGGATCAGTGCGGCTGCTGCAATAATGCAGACGCTGCACCGGTCTGTCGTGGTGAAGAGAGAGCTGAGCGAAAAGGCAAAGCTCTCAATTTACCGTTCGGTCTATGTTCCTACCCTCACCTATGGTCATGAAATCTGGATCATGATCGAAAGAAAGAGATCCCGGATACAAGCGGCTGAAATGAGCTTTCTCCGCAGGGTGGCTGGGCTCTCCCTTAGAGATAGGGTGAGGAGCTCGGTCATTCGGCAGAGGCTCAGAGTAGAGCCGGTTCTCCTCCACATCGAGAGGAGTCAGTTGAGGTGGCTCGGACATCTTCTTTGGATGCCCCCTGGACGCCTCCCTCGGGAGGTGTTCCAGGCACGTCCCACTGGGAGGAGGCCCAGGGGACGACCCAGGACATGCTAGAGAGACTATGTCTCTCGGCTGGCCTGGGAGCGCCTAGGGCTTCCCCCAACAGAGCTGGAGGAGGTGTCTGCGGAGAGGGAAGCCTGGGTGTCTCTGCTTAGTCTGCTGCCCCCGCGAGCCGGTTCTGGATAAAGCGGAAGACGACGAGTACGAGTACGAGATTCATGTTCTCTGCTTGCAAAAATAACAGAACCAAATTCACTCCATAATTTCTCGCCATTTCATCACAAGTTCCTCAGCGTTCAATCAGAGGATCCTCTGCATTCCATTAGAGGTTCCTCTATGTTTCATCAGAGGTTCCAGAGGTTCCTTGGCTCCCTGCTGAGGTTAGACCAGGATGAACTCTGTTCTTTACCTGCAGACTGATGTTCCCGTAGCTGTTCTTCAGCATGGTTACCACCTCACTGTGGGACAGACCGTCCACCGACTGACCGCCAATGCTGACGATTCTGTCTCCCACCTGCAGAGAAACACCAAGTCCAAAATAACCAACCCATAAGGAGAAACTTTGGAAGAGCTAAGTCACATCGTTTAATCAAAGCAGGCGAGCAGGAACCCACATAAAACCTGCAGACAAACAGGTTTCTTAGAACAAATCTGATCCATGGACTGGCACAGAAAGACACACCATGGACCAATGGTTCAGCTTCTTAGGTGGAAAACGGGACCCAGCAGTTGGCTGAGATAAGGGTAATGGTGCGGCGGAACTTGTTCTCATAAAGATCAAGAATAACCAGAAGTACAATCAAACAGCTGCTTTTGTTTCTCCCAAAGTAACACCTTCAATCAAAGATGGACTCTGCTGGACCCACACCAAAGGAGAATTCAATAGAGATAACAGAAAGTCCAAGTACTGACAGAAACTCCTGGTCCAACATCCACAGACCAGACCTGAGGAGGAGGGAAGAGGAGGAAGAGCCAGTATCGGAAGGAGACAGCAAAGCCTTTGGAGTCCATCAGGAGGACGGACTAGAAGGAACCCAGAACCTGAGAGGCCCATTATGGAGGATAAGCCCTCTAAGGAGCGTACAGCTGAGCTCTAAGATGGCATGATGACAGGAACTGGCTTCCAGCATGAAGAATTAAGGCCCAGGTTCTACCACTTTACCCAGAACCAAAGATCCAGGCAGTTGAAAAACTCCCCAGATCAACAGGATGAAAGCAGCAGACCACTAGACATGCATGGAACCCAACAAGCAAGAAGCTGGAAGAGAGTACAGGAACATCTGTGGAGAGTACAGACAGGAGCTCCGTTCTGTACTATCCGACCCAGTTCTCTGGACTCACTGGTGATGCTGCTCTGTGGATCTCATTCCTGGACCTTCCTCAACAGAGCTGAACTTCAACTTCTCCATCCGATCCTTGGAGCTTCTCTGTTGACCGACTGACAGACTCCACCATGTGAGAACAAGGCCAGAACCAACCCACTACTGAAGAACCAGTCCAGAAACACAGGCTGCAATGGTTTGGTCCAATCTGCTGAATCAGAGCTCTTCCTCAAATTCAGTGACCTTTGCACTGGAGGGTGAAAGGTGACGTCTCAGCATGGCATGGCCACAGCTCTGGGATGTGTCCAGTTTCTTAATTGGGTGATAAGCAGGGGAGCAACTAGACCAGCAATGGCTCACCTTCAGCCGTTGCGTCTTCGCTGCCACGCCGTTGGCTTGAATCATGGCGATGAAGATGGGGATGTCCCCCAGAGGGCTGCCCTTTCCTCCCGCTATGCTCACCCCGAGGGAGTCTCCGGCACCCTGGGTGGGTCAGAGGGAGATGGTCTGAGTTCCAATGGGATCACCTTCGGCACCAGAACTTTATTTATTCACATTAAACCAGAGGTTTGCTTTAGAGAGACACTGTCTGCTGCTCAGTGATTGGACCAAATATTCTATTTAGTCTTTATTTCAAATATATGTCCATCAGATAGAAAGATGTCAATCAGATAGTTTTTGATCAGATAGATGGCGATTGGACTGAGATCGATCGGAGAGACGGCTGTCCATTAGAAAGTCTGTATCTGGTTTCTTAAAGGTATAGTGGAGGATTTTCGCAATTTTTTTTAAAAGACCCACCCTCTTTACTTAAAAGAAAAGCACATATACATGACCTTGTACCCACTCCTAAGAGGTAAAGCCTATTAAACGCGTGCAAGAGCATGCACAAGCCCATTTCTCCTCGTGCACGCTCTGTTTAAAAGTTGCTGTTCTCATAGCTCATGACTGGTCTAGTTCTCATCTTTGCAAAGACAAAATGAAGTTCCGACTGAGTGAATTATCATCGATCTCCTTAAACTGGATTACATAGCTGAGTATTTTTTTTTTCCGTTTTGTCCCTTTTCTCACTCTGCCAAAGATTTGTTTCTTACAATGTAAAAAAAACAAAAAAACATCCCCAAAAAGATTAGATTTGGAGGCGTAAGATTATAATGTTCATAGATTTAATTCCTTATTCTTAGTGCTTAACCTTAAAATATTGTCTTAATTCCAGAAATCTTATGTTGTCTCTGCATGGACAGATAATCTAAATTGTTTTGAGGATCTATTTTCATCCAATGGTTTTTATTTAGTGTTTAGATAATCTTTTTTGCAGTGTTGGATGGTTCTGTACTGGTTTGATTTGTTTAGACCGAGTTCAAGACTGATTCGGTGAGTTCACTGATTCACTAAAATATCTTGGAAGCTGTTGTTGCCTCTTTCTGGCAAATTGACACTTATAGGTTTGGGCTAGAATCAGATTCAGAGCCATTTGTGACAGAGTTATTGGCATTATTTCAGCAAAGTGTTTATTGTAAACTGGTCTAAACTGGGATTGGTTGGAACAATTGGATTATAAATTGGTGCATGGTTGCTATGAAACGTCTCCAGGTAGAGGTCCATCTCTCCAGTATCTGTTGAACATCATTTCAACCGGACCAGGTACAGCTTTTTTTCAACCAGATTTCCGGAACGTTTTAGATGGTTTTTGTTTTGCAGAAGCTGCAGATGTTTTAAATGCTGCTAATGTTCTTCATCCTGTTAATGCCACACCACTGTAGAGAGCTGTGATCCAATCAGAGAGCAGCAAACTTAACACTGGATGCATCGCCTCAGAGCTGGTTCTGGTTCTGCATTAAAACTCTGTTGATGACTAAGGTAAACAGAACTGCAGATGTTACAGAACAGGTTCTGGTTCTGAACCAGTTGTTCTACAGATTGTGGGGGATGAAAAGTGTGCAGGATAACAGATCTGTGTGTGAGACGATGTTACCCTGGTGATCTCCACGGTCCGGAGCCCCGCCTCCAGCCCTGGCGCTCCATCTCTACCTGAGCTGCTTTCAGAACTGGAAGTGATGTCACTGCTGGCCTTGCTGCAGTCAAGCGGCTCCGTGGTGGTGGGGGGGTCAGGTGAGACGGTTGTCTGTGGGAGTGGCGGAGCCACAACCCCTGAGGAGCTGCTGCTGCTGAGGTGACTCATCTGAAAGGAAAACAGAAACATTTAGATTCTCACTGTGATTCTGAAGAACCAGACAGAAAAACATCTTCTGTCTCTGGATGTTCTGGTCTTCACATGTTCAGGTTTCCACTGCAGCATAATTTTCATCCTCTCTCTTGAAGTGAATCCACACTACAGGATGAAGATAACCTGAACTTCTGCAGAACTGTTCCAAAAATTCTCCAAACCTCCACCCCAGGCTTAGGATCGAGGGTCGTGCTGGATTTAGCTCCATATCTCTCCCATCAGCTGTGACCAGCTTCACTGTCCCACACCATTATGCTGCCACCACCTTGTCTCACTGTGAGGCGCTGTGTACCCCAGAGCTGCTGATTTCTGCGGCTCCTCCAGAGTAACCATTGTCTCTGATTAATGCTCTCCTCATCCAGCCTCGTTCCACTGGATTTGTTCACGGTAACAGAGAACCAGGGAGATTAACAAACGGTTCTGCTTCGATCAGTCTGTGTTTTTAAGGAAAGTCCAGTTTCTGTTTCATCGCAAGATTTAGAAAGGTTACAAGAATGTGAGTACCTTTGGAAAGGAACCATGAAAACAGAAGAACTTCAAAGCAACAAGGGACAAACTGACCAAAATGCTCAAACTGGACCAAGAAACGAAGAGCAGATATTTCCCTGGACAGACCTCCAGTTCCAGCCATGACAACGGTACCAGTTCTGATCTGGATACAGGCACCCACCTGGCTCCCCTTAAAGGTCAGTTTAGATGGGATCCATGAAGCAGCTTTCAGCCGGCCAAGCTCCAACTGGACCGGCTTACGGGTGCACTGCAGAACACAGAGAAGAGAGGAGATCAGAACCACATAAACTTCATGCAGAATTTTCCCCAAAGCACCATCACAACTGGCTGTACTGGAACAAATGGACCTCCTCTCTGTGAAATCACTGGATTATTAGCAGCTTATGAAGCTAAGGGCAGATGGTCCATGAAGCTTAGCTGTGGGATGCTGGGACAGAGGTCTCAATCAGTAGTAGAGCTCAAACACTGCCCCCTACAGTCTGCTGAGGCGATACCACTGGGTCAGAGCCATCTGCCAAAAAGGCCCGCACACAATAAACATTTAAACAAAGAGTTTATTTAAAACACACAAACATAAAGTATTCTCCGTGCTCATTTTTAAGGTTTTAAGGGAGCAGATTTGGAACAATGAGAACCCAAACTGGCATACACAGTGCTTGCTCCTCCTCTGTGCACTTGTAGCTTGTTTTCCAGCACCAAAAGCCGCTGCTGTAACCTTTCAGCTTGGAAAGTCACTATTGGCTGTCCTAAAAGTCACCAGAAGTTGCAAAATGATGTAATCGCCTAATTTGCATATTCTGTAGTGTTTTGGTCCAGCCATAGGAGAGAGGAATGTCAAAGATGGCAAGTAAGTGATTAAAAACACTTATTAACTGTATGTAAACAAATCAACTATAATATAATTTACCTGAACCTAAACAACATGAATCAATCTTTTTATGATATCAAATTTGACTTCAAGGCATTTAGCAGAGGCACAGTGAATGAGGCTGTGTATAATTTAAATGCAGGGATATCCAACAGTCATCTTTTTCATTACTTCCTTATTTTATAAACAAAATAATAAAGAAAGGAAAAATCTTTAACAGTAGCTGAAACTAATTTTAAATGTAAATGTCTATGTTAAACTATAAACCAGAGTTCATTCAAGCCTCACTTTCTTCAATATAAAGAGTGAAGCTAACGTTAGCTTAGCTCAATTGTTGGCCAAAATTATTTAGTCCATCATAGTTTAAGCATGTTGTATGGGGGCAATATTGTTGCACAATTATTTGCAAATGTGTGTGGAGAGTTGTGTGTCTGTATCTAGATTTGCGTGTGTGCATTGGGATTTGAAAATGTGTGAGGAGATTCGTCTGTCTGTACGAGTATCTGCAAATGTATCTAATGGATTTGCGTTTGTGTAAAAAAATTCACAAATCTGGTCTAAACTGGGATTAGTTTGGACCAATTGGATTACAATTTTTTCAAGAAAAGCCAGCGCCATCACACCCGACTTAAATACTGAGGGCACCTCTTGTTATAGCTCATTGACAACACTAGGGGGTATTTCGTGATTCAGATATCAATAGATAAAGTTTTGACTATCGTAATTTTCAGACTATAAGCCGCAACTTTTTCCCCATTTTTCAACCTTGTGGCTTATATAACAATGAGGCTTATCTATGGACTTTTACAACTAACGGCCACTAGGGTAATACCTAAATCTATGGATTTTACCATCTTGCATGACGACGTCACATTTGCTTCAACACACAAGTACGGTAGCCGGGCGCGCGGGAATGCGGAGGTCCTCCGGAAGCAGACTTCTACCGCGAGTGGTACGAGACAGAACGACAGCGAGAAAGACGGACATTGCAAGCGCAAGACAGTTTGTGTGACAACCTCATTATGGAAAACAAACGTACCGGTCAATAAATGGGACCTTCTATTGCACTAAATTGTAACAGTTAACGTATGCAAATATGCTAATTGTTGAAATGTTAATAAATAGGAGCTTCTCCAAACAATTGCCTCTTTCCCGACAATCTTCTCTGTGCAAGAACCATATGGTAATTAAACATAAAAAACCTGAGGCTTATAGTCCGGTGCGGCTTGTATATGTAAAAGTCGTGCAATTTAGCTTCTGCGGCTTATATTCAGGTGCGGCTTATAGTCCGAAAATTACGGTAGTCAAAATTAACTGAGATATATTGATTACAATTCCAGAAGTGTGAAACCTTAAATTATAAATCAGGCGATGCCATTTGAGATATCTCAAAAGGCGTTTTGACTCCAAAATGTGATGGATTGATATCTTGAATTGTTAGTTTTACTAGTCATAATATAATTTCAGATATCTTATCACTCAGGGTATTCAAAATTTTGTTTTTCCAAGATAAAACTTTTTCATTGATATCTTAGAAGTAATTACGGATGGTCAGAAGAAGCTGATTCTTTGATAAACACTCAGGGCAGCAAATCAAGATATTACACATACGAATCCTCTCTATGCATTTGCAGATCTCAGACGGCAGAAGTGTAGCAAAAATCACATGTGTAAGGAGAGCCAACCGAGAGACTGCTTAACTTGTAACCAATGATCTGTCTGTATTTCTGGGTGTTGAAGCGAAAACATGTTAGACTTAAGTGACTGTGTGTTTACAGACTGATCTACACATTTTTATATCTTAACACACATTTGTAGATCTGAATACAGATTTGTGGATTTTTTACACATTTGCAAATCAATTAGACACATTTGGAGATACTCGTACAGACAGACATTTTCAAATCCCACTGCACACACACAAATCTAGATAGAGACACACAACTCTCCGCACACATTGGCAAACAATTTTGCACCCATAATGTTGCTTAAACTGTCAGAACACATTAATGACTGTGATTACCCAAATTATGTAATAATGACCTCACTTAACCAATTTTTAACAGATATTAACCTGAAGAGATTTTGCTAACGTTACTAGCCACAACCAGGAAGAAAAAACAGTACCGTCTCAGAGAACAGTAGCCAGTAAGAGGTTGTTTACTTTCCCCAGTGGTTACAACCCTCAAAGCAAAGTGACAAAATTTGACATGAGAGTACAGAAACAAATCCACATACAATTATCAAGGGACATGCACCCTATGTGAGATACTGCGGCCATGTTCAAAAGGGAGAGTAGTTTTCATTTTTTATAGATAAAACTGCTTCTTTTAGTATTTATTGTGTTTGTGCCCTTTTGACAGAGTTCTGACTCCATACTGGTGCTGCTGAGGGGACCCATTCTAACTGCAGCGGTGGTGCTGCCACTTCCTGCTAGCCCACCTTCAACATGGCGGCCACTGCTTCCTGGGAGGCGTTGCGCGTCTCCTCTCCGTTCACAGACAGAATCTGGTCTCCTTGCATCAGGCGTCCGTCCAGCTCAGCAGCGCCACCTCTGACCACCTCTGAGATGAACACCCCACTGCCGCTCCTGATTCACACACAGACATTTTGGGACTGGTTAATCAGACCAGAGCATTTTAGAACCTCTATTGATCAGAATGAAGGTGAGCACAAAGAGTTCTGTGGATCATTGGCCCTGCCTGCTCCACACTCTGGCAGGATCCAGAACGTTTTGGGTTTGCATATCTTGACCAGAACCATCGTCTGCAGAGGTGGTGAAAGAAAGAATGAAGAAGTCTAACCTCTTCCCGACGATGCTGAAGCCCAGTCCTCTGCCGCTCTTCTTCTGCAGTTCTACGTTAAACACATCCAGGTTCTCCTCCACTCTGTACTGGGCTTCATCTCTCAGAACCGTCAGCCGGACCTTTGCCGGCGTCTGACGCAGGGCGGTGATAGCCTCTTCGTGTGACGCCCCGCGCAGATCCACGCCATTTACCTGAATGCAAACAGAACCGAGCATCAGCTGTGTTAGTGCAGCAGAACCACCAGCAGCACAACAGCAACCACGGTACCTCCAGAATCTGGTCTCCGGCCCACAGCCGACCGTCTCTGGCTGCTGCCCCTTCCTCATAGACCTCATGGATCAGGATGGCGTCCTGAAGGAGAAATCCTGACCCGTTTGTAATCAAGTGGTTCTGATTGAACTGATCCATCAGAATTGATCCAAACATGGAGTTGGCATCTCTGTTACCAGCTGTGTGTCCCGTCCTCCCACTATGCTGAGTCCCAGTCCAGACCGACCTTTGCAGATCTCCAGAACGGTTTCCTGACCCGGAATCACCGCGCAGCAGGACGGGTCTGAGGAAGAGGAGGAGTTCAGAACCACAGCAGCAGCTGAGGAAGGTATGATTCAGCACATTGGTTGTACCTCTGTTAACAGCGTGGACATCGGCGCTGATCAGAGGAGGAGAAGCCGCTGGAGCTTTGCTGGAGCTGCTGCTGGACCTGCAGGACTGGAACCAGATCAGATCGGATCAATACCCGGGCTTTGTTCAACTGTACCAGAACCAAGGCCTGGCTTTGAGATAACCTGTCCTCTGGAACATTTACTGTAGGCTTCCTCTACACATCTGACAGCCGAAGACTCATTAACCCAGAAAAATGTTGAATGAGGCGCTGTCCATCTTTAACAGAAGCTATGAGCTTCATCATTTTAAACATCAGCTGGTTCTTTGCATATCTTTGCAAAGAGAGAACAGTTCATCATACGTCCCTTATTGCATAGTAATCAGCCCAGTTCTGATCTGGACAGAGTGTGTTCTCCTTAATTATCATAATGGAAAGTAGTCAGAGTCAAAACAACTTATAGACACTTTGGTTAACATGTTATGAATAAACCTTGAGAAATAATCTGGTTTGTTATGGGAATGAGGTATGTCTTGTCTACAAACACACTCATGCAGGGGAATTGTGTGGCCTTGCAGGTGACAGATTGAGTGAAAACTTTTATAGTGAGTAAATAGCATAAATCAATATATGACATAAGAGAAATTACAATCTTCCGACCACAGTTTCACCCTTTCTATTATAAAAGGATATTATACTTGTGTAATCGATAATAAAAAAAGGAAAATTTGTAAATATATGTAAAGAAAACTAAGAAACTAAAATTGGTAACTATATACACTACCGTTCAAAAGTTTGGGGTCACATTGAAAAGTCCTTATTTTTGAAGGAAAAGCACTGTACTTTTCAATGAAGATAACTTCAAACTAGTCTTAACTTTAAAGAAATACACTCTATACATTGCTAATGTGGTAAATGACTATTCTAGCTGCAAATGTCTGGTTTTTGGTGCAATATTTACTTAGGTGTATAGAGGCCCATTTCCAGCAACTATCACTCCAGTGTTCTAATGGTACAATGTGTTTGCTCATTGGCTCAGAAGGCTAATTGATGATTAAAAATCCCTTGTGCAATCATGTTGACACATCTGTAAACAGTTTAGCTCATTACAGAAGCTACAAAACTGACCTTCCTTTGAGCAGATTGAGTTTCTGGAGCATCACATTTGTGGGGTCAATTAAACACTCAAAATGGCCAGAAAAAGAGAACTTTCATCTGAAACTCAACAGTCTATTCTTGTTCTTAGAAATGAAAGCTATTCCATGTGAGAAATTGCTAAGAAATTGAAGATTTCCTGCAACGGTGTGTACTACTCCCTTCTGAGGACAGCACAAACAGGCTCTAACCAGAGTAGAAAAAGAAGTGGGAGGCCATGTTGCACAACTGAGCAAGAAGATAAGTACATTAGAGTCTCTAGTTTCAGAAACAGACGCCTCACAGATCCCCAACTGGCATCTTCATCATTAAATAGTACCCGCAAAACACCAGTGTCAACATCTACAGTGAAGATGCGGGATTCTGGGCTTCAGGGCAGAGTGGCAAAGAGAAAGCCATATCTGAGACTGGCCAACAAAAGAAAAAGATTAAGATGGGCAAAAGAACACAGACATTGGACAGAGTAAGACTGGAAAAAAGTGTTTTGGACGGATGAATCCAAGTTTGAGGTGTTTGGATCACAAAGAAGAACGTTTGTGAGACGCAGAAAAAATGAAAAGATGCTGGAAGAATGCCTGACACCATCTGTTAAGCATGGTGGAGGTAATGTGATGGTCTGGGGTTGCTTTGGTGCTGGTAATGTGGGAGATATGTACAGGGTAAAAGGGATTCTGAATAACGAAGGCTATCACTCCATTTTGCAACGCCATACCATACCCAGTGGAAAGCGATTGATTGGAGCTAATTTCATCCTGCAACAGGACAATGACCCTAAACACACCTCAAAATTGTGCAAGAACTATTTAGAGCAGAAGCAGGCAGATGGTAATCTATCGGTAATGGTGTGGCCAGCGCAGTCACCAGATCTGAACCCCATTGAGCTGTTGTGGTAGGAGCTTGACCGTATGGTACGCAAGAAGTGCCCATCCAACCAATCCAACTTGTGGGAACTGCTTTCTATTTATTTCACAACGTATGGTAGTGAAAAAGTGTGACTTTTCAGGAAAACATGAAATTGTTTGGGTGACCCCAAACTTTTGAACGGTAGTGTATATATAAATATATGTTTGTGTGTATCAAAAATGTACACCTGCAATTAATGTTAAATGATTATAATAGATAAGAATGTGTCGACCAGTTGATGCTCTGTCTGAGCCACATGCAGGTTCTTGAACTCCATCCAGTTCTGGTTCTGATCATAAATTTCTCTTTCTAGATATTAGAACCTATTTTGGCCCTAATGATTCTGTAAAGTTCAGTTTAGTTTTATTTCAGGTCTCTTTAGTCATACCTTTCACTCCAACTGTTGGTGGCGTTAAATCTACAGGAATTGCCATATTTGGGCATATTTTTTCACTACAAGGCTAAGTTTACAGAAATGAAAAGGTTAAAGTTCTGTCAGTGGTTAATACAGTTAAAAACAAAAATCGGACCCCTCCTCAGAACCGTTGAGACTGACAGTTTCAAGTGAACTTTGTTTAGAAGTACACAAACAGGTTGAGATCAAAGCCCCAGTTCTGCATGTTGGAATGTTTGGTTCTGTTTGTTATTTTGAGGATTGATCTTTTTTATTATGTTGAGGACATCTGGTTCTGAAAGTTTAACAATGATTTTCAGACAGAGACAGAAATAAAGCCTGTATGTTATGCGTTTACCTGACTCTCCGGCTGCACCCTTGGAGCCTTCAGCTCATCTTCTGGAGCCTCTGCAGCTTTGAGCCTCTGCAGGAGCAAAGATAGATGAGATTGGGTCAAGGAGAACCCGTCCTGTCTGAGTGGTGCAGCAGGAGCAGGTCTGTGGAATATTAACACTGAGGGGAGGTGGTCCCTTCTTCATAACCTGGTTCCTCTAACGCCTCGAAACATCATTAAATTTGTCTGCAGGACTTCATTCAGACTCTAACCTGCGTCTTACTGAAGGCTTCGGAGTTTCTCTGAACCTTCTTGAGTGTATCTTCCTCTGTCAGCCTCCTGGAGGCGCCGTCGCTACTACTGGTTCCGTCGTTCTGAACAACCTCATCAGTCAGGGTCTCCTCCTGTTCAGAGGACCACGGGAAAGTTCACAGCACTCTGACATGATTACTTAGAGAAACAAGTTAGTGATGAAGACTGACCGGAGTGCCCGGAGAGGGGAGGGGCCTCATACTGTCTGTTGGGTGGGGCTCTTCAGAGGGGGCGGAGCCACCAGACTGTGCTGTCGGCACACCCTAAAGTAGAGGCATTTCAGGGTTAACATTTAGCTAAACAACAGTTTCTGATCATTTCTTCTGATAAATTATAATTTATTGAAACATTTTTTTGAAATTCAAGGTTCTGAATCTGTCTGATGAAGAGTGATGTTGTGAAATGATTCCTGTTACCAGAAGAACTTTACCCATGCACCTAAAAAATGGTAAACTGAGGTGTGAAGTCTAGACCCTGCAGCCGTGGCTCCTTTCAGAAGTCTCTAGATGTTTACGGAGGTGTGTGGAAGTGTGTGGTTACCTCTGGGCTGACTGGACTCAGGGTGGGAGGAGGAGCAGGAGGAGGAGTCGTTAGAGGAGAAACCGCCATCTGGGTTAGAGCATCATCACTCCTACAAAACACAGAAGAAGAAAATCACAGCTGCTTGGGTTTCTGTAGAAGAACATCATCACCACAGAACCACCTGAACATCAGAGTGAAAATCCTTCAGATAGGAAACTAACCAACCTGGAAAACAATCTGAATTTGACTGATTGTTTGATATCGAGGGTCTAATTATCTGATCTCTCCTCCATCCAGGAATGACACAGGTCTGGGGTTAGGGAAATGCTAACACCTCTGCAAACCTCACACATTAAAGCAGGTTTTTTACTTGACCCATATTGTTTTTTTTTTTTTTACTGGTTTCTATTTAACTTTTACCAAGTCAGGAAAGATTAAACTTATAAACAAGTTGAGTCTGAAATTCAAACCAGTCCAAATCCAAAGTTACACCACATTTCATCCAACTTTAAAATAGTCCAGATCTTTAAATCCAACGTTCAACCAGTTTAGATTTACCTTCAAACCAGTTGTAGTCCAACTTTAAAGCAGACTAGATTCCAATGTAAAACCATTTTAAATCCTGATTTTTACCCGTCCCAATTTAAATTAGTTTAAATCAAGTTGTCAACCAGTCTAGATCCAACATTAAACCAGTTTTAACTCAGTTAAAACACTGATTCCAATGTTGATTAGTTTAGATTTGACGTTGAATTCCGTTTATAACCAGTCCAGATCAAAGATGCAGGATTTGAAATGGATCTCTGTAATGTGAAGCTGTGCTAAATTGACTCAAGCTTATTTTTCTAATTAGAGAAACGCCTTGAAAGACGAGCATTGTGTTTTACCCAAAATGCCTTGCAGTCTTACCTTAGCAGGATGAGCTGCACCTTGGGGGCGGCGCTTTTAATGATGGCCGAGGCGTTCTGGTGACTCCGTCCATAAAGAACCTGATTGTTGATCTGATAAGACACATGAACCTCGTAAGGTGACCTTCTGACCCAAACGGATCAACCAACAGGTAGAAACAAACTTTAAATCCAATGAGTGAAGGTCAGTAATCCTGACAAATCAGCAGAACCTTTTCCTCAGATGACATGACGACAAACTGAGGTTTTAAATGTAAGAAACTGCTTCCTATGATTGATTCACTTTAACTTTTTAATATTAGTTTATATTTAGAACATCCTTCAGATCAACATCACAGTTATAAAATATAACGTCAAGCCTCCTCACCTCCAACAGCTCGTCTCCAACATGGATGCGTCCGTCACGGGAGGCCGGCCCACCTGGATGGAGTCCAACCACAAAGATGCTGAGGCGGGAACGGTCCCTGTTTCCCGCCAGGCTGAGACCCAAACCCTGCCGGTCCTTCTCCAACTCCACGCACAGCAGCTCCCCCTGCAGGTCTCCATATCGCTCACACCAACGCTCTGCAACACAGACATGAGGAGGAAAGAGACGGAAAAGCTGATTTCATCTTTGAGGAAATGTTCAGAGGATCAACAGTTTCACACCAATATTGGAATAACAGACAAATAATCCAGAGCGCCGGCCATAATGTCTAACCTCTCAGACGGTTCTGAAAAAAGTACGATTCCTCAGCCACTGATAGAACCACTTTGGGAAATGTCCAGGTAAAAAATAAAAATAAAAAATAGCCTAGTTTACAGCTTACCTCTATAGCAGCACTCAGTTCATCCAAAATGAAATCCACCCCTCCCTTGTTACTTCAGGTTTTTCCCAAGGCTCTGTCCTGGGGCCCCTCCTCTTCGTCATTTACATTTTTTCCCCTAGAAGTACCGTACTTGCTTTAGCTCACCTCCCTGACTGATGGCAGGTCTGACCTAAAAACCTGGTTCACCCAAAGCTTCACAAAGCTAAACAGTAGCAAAACAAAGTAGGGTTGCAACTAACGATTATTTTGCAAATCGATTAATCTGTCAGTTACTTTTTTTGATGAATCAGTTAATAATCGGATAGCCAAAGATTCGTTAAAGAAAATTTTTTTACGAAATAATACCAGGTGAAACTCAAACTTTTCTACTTGAGTTCTGTTTAGAGCATATTGACAAAGAAAAACGTTCTTCTCATAAGTGCAAAACGTTAATATATTTTTTTACTGTTTTGATATTGTTACTACTTTAAGTGGGACGCTGTGTCAGCTAAAGGCATATTTTACAGTCTCTATACTCCAGCTAATGATTAATTGTGATTAATCATCGATTAATCACAATTAATCCAATAGTTTATGCTTTAAACCAAAGGTTCTCCTCATTGGCACCAAATCCACCCTATCCAAAGCTGGCAGCTTTTCTCTCATTAATAATGCAATTTCCACCAAGGTTAATAGTCTAAAGGTATCATCATTGATAGCACGCTGTCTTTCCAATTCCACATCAGTAACATTACCACGTCCTGGTACATCTTATTCAAATTCCTCCTGATAACATCTAAGACCATTTATAAACTTGCCTCTTTGTCCGTCCTCCATCATCTCCCCCCTCCTTTTTCACTTAGCTCATTCTCCATACACACATCTGTCCCCTCCATCAGCTGCAGAGCATTCAGTCACTGAGCTCCCCCTCTTTAGAATTCATTAACATTCCAACTCTGAGAGATTGACTCACTCCCACATCTGTTTATGACTGTCTACTTCATCTGATGGCTATTGTTTTAGTGATTTGTTTTTTTTCCTTGTTGCCGTTTATTCTTAAAGGTTTAATCTTCTTTTGGCTTCAAGTTCCGGGGGGGAGCATTATCTTATCTTCTGGTTGTCCCACATGCTAATCTCTGTTCATGGTGGTTTCCTCTTGCTGTGCATGTGCATTTCTAGTTTTTATGTATCCAGTAAGTTCTGGTTTCAGCCAATGATTGTAGCTCTGCTGTTCTCACTATTAGGGAACGGTACCAAATTCAGTAGTTTTATAGGTTCTGACTGGATTCCTTCAGTACTGCTGAGCACCTATTCACATAAAATCAAACAGCATCATCTTTCAGTACCTAAATGCATTAGTGACAGACAAAAAGAAAGATTGGGAGATTTTCCATGCTGGAACTGCACACACTAGAGCGTGATGACGTGAGAAGCCACTGGTACAGTAGACAAAGCAGGGGCGGATTTAGGAAATTTGAGGCCCTAGGCAAAGACAGGCAGGGGGCCCCTCTGAATTGAGAAGACAACACATAAAACAGACCCATTATACAGATGCAGAAATTTTAATAGAATAGACATACATTATTTGTTCTAGGTTTTGTTCCTCTCTTCTTGTCCCTTTTCTTGTTGTTTTCCTCTATAATTTGTACTCTGACTTTTCATGCTGTCTCAAAAGGAATGAAAGATTTTTTCCAAGCACTAAGCTCACTTAGCTGATTGCTCCCTCCTGTGTTTCCAAAAAGGAGACGGCAAAATTAAATGACACAATGATCTGCTTATCTGTTCTCCAGTTTTCATTTGGATGAAATAACAGCTGCATGAATCATGACAACAGACAAGATAGAGGAGAGCAGGAGGCGGGGTTACCAATCTAATTGCTCTAGAGCAGCGGTCCCCAACCACCGGGCCGCGGACCGGTACAGAAAAAAGTATATATATATAATTTATCGACGATCAGAGTCTGAGTGATGTTTTATTGTGAAAAATATAAAAAATTGCGGTATTCTCTCCCAATTACATCAGTCGGTGCATCTGTGCCTCTTGTCACAGGTTAATTCAGTTCAAGACTCATCCTATCTATGTGAAGCGGGATTTTCTGCGGTTACAGCGACCAAAACAAAGCTACGGAGCAGAATGGACATCAGGAGCACACTTCATTGTTGTTTTATTTTTATGCTGTTTGTATTTGATTTTATGCCAGTTGTATAATTTTTCTTGATCGTATCAGCACCCCCCACCCCCCCGGCCGGTCCGTGAAAATATTGTCTGACATATAGCGGTCCGTGGTGCAAAAAAGGTTGGGGACCGCTGCTCTAGAGAGCAGAGTTCACTGCTTTTTTATGTTGTCGCCAAAGTCTCCATTAGCAGAAAAAAAGTCGCTAGATTTGCAGCTAGGTGCTTTTTTCAAATAATAGCGCTAGAGCGTTTGTTTTCAAATATATGCTGCTGTCTGTTTGGACATCTCTGAACATCCAATGTGGTGGACACTGGGGGTGGGGGGGTAAGTGCGTGGGACACACTTAACATTATAAGCACTCTGATGGCATTTTGGCAACAGGATTTTTATTTACAACACAATTAATGTGCACATATAAGAAATGGTTGTATTAACTATGCATGTAAACAGAGTTTTATGGGCCCCCCAAGAAATTGGGGCCCTAGGCAACTGCCTGATATTGCCTAATGGTAAATCAACCCCTGGGACAAAGTAAATATGTTTAAAAGGAAGCACGTAAGAGTTTGGCTCCACTTTTCAAAATGCATATATGCGGAGGTCATTAGCACAATGATAACTTTTTCAGATCTGTGGAGGCAACAGTCTTGAAGCTTCAGTCAGCCATGAAGCTAATCACAGAGCACAGACGGAGCAGCAGGCTGCTGTAATCACTAGCAGTCGCTGCTTGGCTATATTCGACACTAATATGCTTATATCTGCTAATTTGCTGTGATGGCTCATTTTGCTCTGAGAAGAGTCACCCAGTCAGGATTAAAGGACATTTCAGATTTTCAGGATAGAGTATTCATGATTTAAAAAGAGAAACCATAAAGTCGACAACACACTGAAAGCAAATGTCTACTGTCACTACATGTTTATCCAGGAGAAGTAAATCCTGCAAAATCAATGACTTGATGTAATCCGCTGGGTTTCTCAGATGGAAAATCATTAACCAATTTGATTTGATTGAACTGAGTTTGTAATGTGCCTTGAGACAATGTCAGGGAAGTCGGTTTGATACAAATAGACTGAATAGCAGCAAACATGTTAAACAGTTAGCAACATGGAAGAGGCAGCATCATCATTGTATGACACAGATAAGCCTGGTATTGAAGATTAGACAGTTAAGTTCTGACACAGACTTTCAGGTGGCAAGATGTAAAAAAAACNACAGTTAAGTTCTGACACAGACTTTCAGGTGGCAAGATGTAAAAAAAACACGGTGTTATTCTTTCTCAGGACTTGTCCTTTAAATCATTATTAAACAAGTTCAGGATAGAACTATATTTTCTTAAATCCACTCTCTCACATATAAAGCCCTTAATAATCAGGCTGCATGTTATATCAGAAATCTGATTGTTCCTTATGTTCCTAACAGCACTTCCTTCTCTTCTTCTTCATTCTGGTTCCAAGAATTTCTAAAAATAGAATGGGAGGCAGATCTTTTAGTTATCAGGCTCCTCCTCATGTTTAAGTTTGCTAGGCAGACACCCTGTCTACTTTTAAGGGTAGGCTTAAAACTTTCCTTTCCTTTTGAAAAAAAATGGCTCTATAGCTGTTAGGGATGGAACGGTTTATGAAAATCGTCGGAACCGTTCGGTTCGATTCGCGTGTGTTTCGTTCGGTTCATGCGCTGCTCCTTTTTCTCATAGGCGAAGCGTTTACACTCCAGAGCAGAAGGTGGCGGTACTGCGACCAAAGCCAACCACCAGTAGTAAACAAGAAGAAGAAGAAGCGAAGCAGTTTAGCCGGGTGTAGCAGAAAAAAATCAGTTGTTGAGGAGAATTGTGTGGGTATGGAGAGTGGGAAAGAACAGGAGTTGGAAGACGCGCCAGCAGCACTTTATAGGTCTGCTGTATGGGAGCGCTTTACATTCAGTGACCTACGATGACGGCAGAAAGGAAGTTGTGGATAAAAGTGCAACAGTGTGCAAGCATTGTGCAACACATGTTGTTTATGCTAACAGCAAAACAACCAACATGTCATCTTAGAGATTTTCCTAACAATCAAAATATACCGAACCGAACCGAAAACCATAACCACGAAACCATGAACCGAACCGAACCGTTGGTTTTGTGAACCGTTCCACCCCTAATAGCTGTCTTCATTCTTATGCTGCTATTGGGTTAGACTGGTGGAGGACATAAAGATAACTATCTCTTATTCAGCCCATTTTATCTCCACCAAGGAGGTTATGTTTTTAGTCAGGTGTGTGTTTGTGTTTGTCTGTCTATGTACTGGATGACTTGAAAAGTTATTAATGGATTTTAATTAAATTTATACCAAAAGGCACATCTCAGTCAAAGGAACGAAATATGAAATGATTCTGATGATCCACATCATAATCCAGATATAGGAATCTTTTAGGGATTCTTAAACAATATCAGGCGGAAAAAGCAGTTCCCCCCTAAATCAGAGGGTTGCAGCACTGACTTTTGACACCTTCAGCATGGCACTCAAAACAGTCCGGAAGTATTATTCTGAAGACCAAAACACAGGAATGGTGAGTCTGCCTCAAAGTCTTGATCTGCTGATTAAACAAGAAAGTAGAGATCTGAGTG